TAAAATGACATGGGGTTTAACATCAGTTAACTTTGGGTTTGGCCTCTAGTTTCCACATGTACTGTCATGAACCTTAAGTAAGTCACTTAACCATCCTGAGTTCGAGTTTCTTCATCTAAAAAAAAGAAAGAAAGATCTGGGGAACTGGGGGATCAGTGGAGCAGTGAATCTGAGAGCATTCTGTACACCACAGTGCTGTACAAATGCTGGCCTTTCCCCCCGCCCCCGCCTCCCGCTGGGATCTTAGTTCCCCGACCAGGGATTGAACCCGGGCCCTCAGCAGTGAAAGTGCAGAGTCCTAACACTGGACCGCCAGGGAATTCCCGATGGCCTATTAGTTTTAAATTCAGCACTTCATCCCAGTAGAGCGAGGAATTCCACATTTGGACCCACCTTCACTGGAGATGTCTGAAAAAGCTGCTTCTGGTCGCATGCCTTTTGGGCTCTGTGGGCATCCCCTGCTGAATAAAACTTGATGATGCCACAGAACCCAGGACCGGCCACTGCTGCGTTTGGGAAGACTCGGACCGAATACAGAAGGCCAAACTGGGAGAAGACTGTGAACAGAGAATGCTGTAGGGTGGTCCCATGCTAAGTAAGTGCAGGAGATTTCACGCCCAGGATAACAAACCGCCCGTTCCCTTATATTCCCCCAGCCCTTCGCCACAGGCAACTGTGGTGAGCCTGCAACTCCAAACACTTCTCATTTTATGAACAAGTTTCCCTCTGAAATCCTAAGCTTCGAGAAGCATTAGGAGGCAATGCCGTCTGTTGGGAACTATCTCTCAAAAATCTCTGGGGCCGAGCTGACTGCTCAGGTCGGCTCTAGAACTAAGATTCCTCTCAGCGGAGACCACAGGCAGATGAGGTGCTGAAGCAGTACCCCGGGCCGCCCAGTTACTGGGGCGCGCGGCGGCTTCCTCCACCCCTCCCTCCGCCCCGGCTCGGCTCACTTGCAAGGCCTCGGCCGTGGGTCCAGAGCTCAGCTCCCACACCAGCAAGGTTTTCTCACCCGCGACGGGAACCGCAAAACGTACCAACTCCACCATTCGACCGTTACCGCGCGTGCGCGGCTCGGAGCGCAAGCGGACTGTGCCTGCGCACGCGCGCCCGCGCCCGCGCTTTTTAAAAATGGGAGCCTGAGGGGCGGAACAAGCTGGGTGGGAGTGGGACAGGGGCGGTGCTCGGACCTCTCCCTCGCCCCTCCCACTCCGGGCTTGTCTCTGCCTCTAGTTCCCCTTCCGCAACCCGCGCACCCAGAAGTTTTGGAGTTTAGCGTTTCTATTCAAGTGTATTTTTAGCGTAGAGTCCAAAGTGTGAGTTTACAGGATCGAATGGTGCGGACATCTTTACAGCAGCTGGCTTCATCTTCAAAGTTCCAGAGGAGACTAGAGTACTAAGTAGTTAGTGCTAACTATCCACTGAACTTTAAAAACTTAGATTTCCCGACTCTGTGTGAGAAATG